TTCTTCAGTACCACACCAACCCACATGTCCTGGCATTGTTTGTTTGTGTATACTGTATTTTGAATTCGCAAATCCAAACCAGCACAAATGCCGCAGTCAATGACAAGGCAGCGAATATAATATTAATGATGACTACTTGTGACAGTATGTCTCAGATATCAGAACCACAATCATGTAGTTGTGTGTAGGGTGTATACAATGCAAAGAAAAAGAGTCCAGAGTCAAACGTCCAGAGAAGAATCAGAGTGAGTGACGGATAATCTCTTCAAGTGGGAGATGGCCTTTTCCACTTGCAACTACTGTGCACTGCATCGCAGGCACTCTAACAGGGCTGGTGGCGGTGGAATTCAGGATTTGCCCATGTCCTTGAAACTGAACAGCAAGATGTGACGAAAGTACTTGAGTGTCCAATATCTTTTGACTTCATTGGAATAAAGATGTCATGATGCACTTTCCTATGTGCATCTCTGTGCGTTTTTGCCGGCGTTTGTGGTTTAATATCTTGTAAAAAAAAAATAAAAAAATGCAGGTTTGATGATGGCCTGAGACTTGATTAGTTGCTTGGCTTGGCTTGGAAATTTAATTGCCAGTATAGTGACAAGCATAGTTGACTTCATTGCATGGTGCACTAATAGTACTAGTAGCACCTGCACTTGCATGACTGTACATGTACATGTACAGTCATGCAAGTGCCCAATCATTGGATCATTGGAAATCGATGGAATTAATTTATTGCTTCTAGCTACCAGGGTTGGCCTCGTTTTTCTCCGAGCTGCGCTGATGAGCGCACAGAGGACGAAACAGTTCTGTCCGCAGGTTGAGACAGTCTTCTGACAGCTACATGTACATGGTAGATCTACATGTACATGTAGGTGTTTGGACCTTCTTAACTTAGAAGTTAGATCTAATCAGGTGAGCTCAGAGGGATTGGCCATAACAACATGGCTATAAAAAAACAGTCCTGTAAGTAATACATGTACATGTAATTGCTATTACTTCAAAGTATCAACGTTGATATTGATATTATATTTTCAAGAATTCTCCAGAGGCAAATGGATGCCTATCAAAGGGAGTCTCCTGGGGAAAGGAAGTGAAGGTGGCTGTTATGAGAGAACATCACAACATGGTCCCACTGTCGGCATTATGATTGTGCTACTAGCATGACAGTCATAACGTTAGACACAACGAATTGTAGCAGTCATTTCCTTCTACAGTCTACCATGGTCTACACTGGACAGACAATGTAGGCCACCATTTATTGTATCAGTCATTCTACCTGATCTTTTGTACTGTTGTTCGTGTTTTGTAACGAAGCTGTCCGCTAAGGACCGCCAAAGGCTCTCTACTGTGTTCCGCCGTGCTGTACGAGCTGCCTGTGGTGCTAAGTCACAGGACGACATCACGCCATTATTGACCACATTGGCGATTTATCCATTTGAACACTATATGATTCTCAACTTTGCCCAGTTTATTCATAGAAATCATGTCATCATCTCACTTCCTACCCTAACGGAATTATTTCCACCGATCACAACAAGCCTTAGAACTAGAAGCCACTCTAATGCTTCCATTGCCATATCTAAGCACCGGACAACTGATGGAGTAAATTCTTTTTCTAATCGTGCCGCAATTTTCTTTAATACACTACCTGCCGAGTGGCGCAGACACCACCGTACCTCTACATTTGCAAACCAACTCAGGGATCTTTTTAAAGACCCAGTGGCGTTTAAGAAGTATTTTGACCTTCTTTTTGGAATCTGTTGAGTTTCTCGATGATCTTGATAGTTCTTGTACTAAGATTGAAGTTGACTTGGTGTTTGATTACTGTACTGCTTGATGTCTGAATTCCAATTTTTTCTATTTTTTCTTTTCTTTTCCTTTCCTTTCCACTTATCCCGTTATCGGCCCTCTTAAGAGTTGTGTGTATCACTGTTGAGGCATCCGATGGTAAATAAAATAAATACTACTACTACTACTACCATGATTGGTGTTATTAATCATGATAATAAGGGTGGGTTGGTGTAGTACATGATTGTATGTACATGTAGTGGTAAGTGATGTGTTGCGTAGATGCGCACAGGGCATACAATGTATGTTCCAGTTACACAAACCTTGCTGCTGTGCTGTGCCATAGCCTGCATAGGCTATAGTATAGGCTATAATAGGCTATAGCCTAGGGTTCAAGGGGAGGGGGGGGGGGGGAAGGAGGGCAGTAGTAAACAAACCTTGTTGCTGTGCTGTGCCATAGGCATAGGCTATAGCCTAGGGTTCAGGCGGGGGGGGGGGGGGGGGGAGGAGGGCAGTAGTAAACACATCATGTACTTCAAAAACCAACTCCCATGCCAGAGCCCAGCAGAGGCCAGAGGCGAGGGTTTCAAGTTACCGCGTAGGTGGCCCGTAATGTTATTATTAGTATCTGTACTGAAGTTACTTTGTCTTCATTATTGCTACTACCGGTATTGTCCTGCTGTGATGATGTAGCCTTGTAGGGTAAGTATGTCCGACTGCCCAGCATTCTTGAACACATTTACATGATGTCACACGGAACGTGCTGATGTCCTTGGGCCAAATAGCACTGGTTGACATTGACATGTGTGACGAATGGGTGTGCAAATTCAAGATCAATTCAGTAGCATAGCAAGTATTTCGCTGGCCAATTGGCAGGGTACTCACACGGTACTCAATGGTGATAATGACCAGCAGCTGCTAAACTGTCCCAGCCAGATTGCACAGGCTCGGATTGCCTAGCGGCTGAAATGTATTTGGAAGACCGCACTGCGTGCACTGTGGGCTGTGTTTCTATGAATACTGATAGCGGCTATTTGGACCAAGTCACAGTGAAATACTGTCACTACTAGACAGCTTGCATAGAATGCCAGAATTATTAGTAGAGGAGAGGGTATGACAGCCTGGTTACGTCAGCTGTGCCAGTGCAGTAACTGTTGAGTCTTGCATGGACGTCATTGCCTGTCAAAAGTCATTTAGATTAGAACAAGGTTGAGATGGCAGGCATTCAGTTACCGCCCAGGCAGGCACCCATCTGAAGTGGAGAAGAGCAAGTATACTTCAAATAATAATAATTATTACATAATCGTATGATGCAGGGGGTATTGTACTACTCCCTGGTATCATGTACTAAGTACTAGTATTCGGAATGTCTGCAGTGAATGGGTGATGGTGACGCGGTGAATGGATTGCGGATCCAATGAAAAGTGGAGAGATTTAACCACCCTCGCCTATGGCATGCGCACCATCATGCATCTGTCAATCCCTCGGGCTACAATGTGGGAGGAGAGTCGGAAGGTTCGAAACTACAACTACTAGTACACACAATCTCACATGTAAAGCGTACTACATGTAATGACACTTTGACAGTAAATCATTGTGTTTCTCGGGCATATTCCGAATCAGGTGGTGTTTGATTGAAATGTGTGGATTTCGGCACACGCCCCTACATGGCTACTTCCCCTTATCTAACCCCAAAGATGAATGATAGTACTTAGCCGACTGGCCGAAATTCAAAAAAAAGTGTGGCTAGAGCAAGGAACTGGACACAATCAGATCATGACATACTACTACTAGTAGTACTCCGATCCTACAGGTACATTGTACTGGTATCCCGGCAGTCTTTGAACGCGCGCAGGTGATCTCTGAAACCACTTCAAACCAGTATGAACTGCTCATCATGCAGTAATGTTCAATGTCAATGTCAGTGCTGCATATGCCTAATACGGTAATAGCGATACGGGTCGGTAGCAAGGATAATAGCGGCCGTGTTTACCCTATTGTCATTGAAGAGCAGTGAGTATTTCACCTGATCATTGCTCAGTTCTGCATAGTGTACAATGTCATGTACATGTACATGACATTGTACAGTCATACTCGTAGTACCTAGTCCTTACGTGTACATAATTGTTCACATGGTTCATGTAGCGGTCTGAGTGCTCATTCACTGTACAACAATGTCATACTACTACAATCATGTACAAGTAATCGCATGCCCTGGGCGGCTAGCATGCAGCTGGGCTCCAAAATGAAGTGCCCGGAATGGTGCATATGGCTGCTTCAGCGTTTGCTTTGTGAGTTTGTGAGCAGAGAGACCTTGCGGCTTGCAGCTTGTGTGCAGCATAACGTTAGACAGGTGGTGTTTGTGCACCGTGACATGACTCACATGAGTGCCATTGGGAATGGGAATGAACATTGAAAACGTTCCGAATCTCTAACTGCTACAGAGAGTACAGTAGTAGAGTATTAGTAGTGAGAGTGTCGCTGAGTGACCAGGCTGAATAGTGGCGGACAATTCTTCAGCCTCGTAGGCTGAATGGTGCGATCCCAGCACAAGTAATAGTTGCTAGGGCTTCTGCTGGAGCATCGCTATCATCGCCTCTGGCGATATCGAATTTGATGGGCGTCAACAGGTCAAAGGTGAAAGGATTGACAGCGTCTGTTTGAGAAACCTTGGGATGACTGTTGATCACTGATCTTCTATACCATTATACTACATGCTGCACTGCTGAGTGTGTTGCACCAAACTATGCCTCTATGGTTGGGAGCAAACTAATGCCTGTGGTATACGTTGAATGTTTTAGTGTCATTGTGCAGCGAATGTATTCATTGTATTAGCTGCAAAGGGATTTTCAAAAATCAGAACTGAGAGTGCCAGCTGAATCACACAGGCTTTAGTTTCTTTTTGGCCTCTGTCTGTCTGTCCCTCTCCGTCTGTCTGTCTGTCTCTTTCTTTCCTCCTCTGTCTGTCTTTCAATCTAAGCAATAGCTTGGTTCTCCAGACAACGAAACACCAGTGAATGTTCAGCTAGAGAATCTATCTACTTGTGTCGTTGGGCTATTTACAACTGTTGTTTGCCTGTCTGTCTGGGCGTCCGTCTGTCTGGTTGGCTGTCTCTTTCTCTCTTTCTTTCTACCCCTCCCCACTCCAGTCTCTCTCTCTCCCCCTCCTCTACCCAATACTTCTCCCATGCAACAATGTTGCCAGATCTTGGTAATACTAGACATCCGGATAGTCGGTCTAACTTCTGCTGTCATGGTTCTTAAGACCAGAAAAAGAAGATGGGAAAGTGGCTATGGGAACAAAACGTGAACAGAAAGCTGCATAAGGAGTGCCTGCAAACATACAAAGCATTACATAAATAGAAATTGTCACGGTGTTCCTCTCAAGGACAAGACTCGAATATTTTGAGCTAGCAGTACCCTATGGACTACGCACTAAAATGAGCGACTTTCTCATGAGCGGTTGGCAAGCCTCAGGGTGCTCCCGTGCTGAAGAAGAATACCTCCTCAGGGTGCTCCCGTGCTGAAGAAGATTGGCAAGCCTCAGGGTGCTCCCGTGCTGAAGAAGAATACCTCGTTAGATCTGCCAGAGGTGTTTTAAAAGGCGCCAAATGATATTTCGATAGGTAATTTCGTGCAGCAGAAATAAATAAGGTCAGGTTTCTGCAGCCATCTTTACCATTGGGCATTATCACAGATTATACTGATAGCAGCAGCATTCACTCTATTGCAACTTAATGTCCGATGGTGTATCCACAGCACCTGTGGGCTATGAACCATTTACAGGAAGGTATATAATTATACTTGTAGGTTCACGTTGTCTTCCTAAGCCAGTGTTCAGTTCCGGGCATGTTAGTGTAAGCGTAGCTTGGTCTCTTTTTCTCTCACTTATAGTCCTGTGCGTGCACCCAGCACATGTACTTAGTAAAATGCTGCAGCCATCCCGCACCGGCATTGCACCGCAATATAACCATAGCAGTTCGGCGATCCCTTGTGACCTGATGCTATGCCCTGGTGCGATTCCACAAGGAATCGAGGCGTGACTGGGTGAGTGACCTGATGCTATGCCCTGTCGCGGTTCCACAGGGAATCCAGGCGTGACTGGTTGACATGGCGACCTGATGCTATGCCCTGTCGCGGTTCCACAGGGAATCCAGGCGCGACTGGTTGATATAGCCGTGTGAGGACGAGCACGATCCGACCGGCGTTCGCTGGTACTGGTTATCCGACGGGTATTGCCGCCGCCGTGACACTATGCTCTGACGGGCGACGGCCGTTGCAGCTTTGAGCTGTGCACTTCGCCGTGCAGCCTCGACGGATGAAGAATGCCTCGGCTCCTAGCAGCACACAACAAAGGCACAGTATGGGGTTTGTCCATAACTGTTTTCGTTTATTGCAACCATACAGAAATGTAGACTTTGAGAGCATCCCCACTCCCCACTTCAAACCATGCAGATACTCATAATACAAGTAGTCAAGTCATACATTCACATCAATCTCTTATTCAGACCTCGAAGTTGCGGGCACCTCGGTCTACTGGGCACCCTGTGGATGCGTAGTTGGTTGAAATATTACTACTCTTGCAATTGTTGGAGAAATAATGGCGTCAAATGGCAGATTTCTGGCCCTTCCCCGTTCAAACATCTGTAGTTCAGACTTATAGACATTTTAAAACGTTACGGGCATTTCGCAGTCGCGGACCGCCTGGACCGCCTGCCTGGACCGCCTGGCCTGGATAGGAGCGATGTGACTGTACATGGAACTTTGTCCGATTCTAATTCATAGTCATACCTTAAAAAAAAACAGTGAAGCAAACTTGTGAGAGTTTAACGCTCTTGGTCTTACCGGTCTGCCTGTAGCCAATGCTCTGGTTACGCCTGTAGTTGAACTGCTGCTGATGTTGTTATGTATGCTAGCTGCAGGTCTCGTGTTGGTTCCAGTGGTGCCGTGAGGGGCGGGGGCGGCGGTCGTAGTGCGTTGCACTGCTGTGTGCATATCGTCCACCATCTGGGCTAGAGGTCGCGGTATCCTGGCCGGTGGTGGGTGCGCTGGCTGCTGCTGGGGCTGCTGACCGGGTATGAGGGCTTCGTGCAAGTCCTTGGTCCAAGCATTGAATGACTGCAGTGCAAGTACATACAGATGGTACGTTGGGGCCTGGTTTAAATCTGGCTTTGGACAATTTAGTTTTCATTGCTATCAGGTTTGGCCTCATTTTCTCTGTGCTGCGCTGCTGAGTTCGCAACGGACGAAACAGTACTGTCCGCAGATTGAGTACAGATGAACTGATGTACCTTTGCATGCAACACTAGTGTTTGCTTTGATGGTCACAATCATGGTCTAGCAGAGCTAGCCAAAAAGCAAAACACTGACAAGTTTATATGCGAGTTGCAAACTAGGAACATGCATTCAAACTCACCAACACGAGGAAGAGGAGCACTACACAAAGCAATGCCATGTGAACTGTACTGATATTTACACTCATACCTCGGTTATCCGGACACCGAAGTTACGGGCATTTCTGTCTCCCGGGCACCCTTTGGTCGGATTTCAGTGGAAATAATACTATCCTTTTGTCACTTTTTGTGGAAATAGTGCCGTCACATGCCATAATTATCTATGGTCTTTCCCCATCAAACTGTATGTGATTCGGAGTAACGGACATTGCAAACGGTTATGGGCAGTGCCCGGTCCCCGGACTGCCCGGATAAATGAGGTGTGAGTGTATCATAGCCAGCAATCGCATGTCATCACGTACATTGAAAATCAACATAATTTTGCGAATCGATCTTTTTTTCAGGATCACTTATCAACGAGGACGAAGCAAAGTCGGCCGAACGAAGCCTAGAGGAAGAAAATCACCCTCTCCACTTCACCATCACGATACTGACATAGATACGAGATGAAACAACTAAAAAATCCACAAGAAAACTGTACGGCCATCATGGCGCTGACTTTGGTCTGACTTTGGTCTGAGAATTTCTATCATGATCAAAAATGTACGAGGAGCACTCAAAAATAAGCCACAGACGTACCTTTATCGCTCTCTACTCCTTTTTCAAGGCACAAAAGTCGACTCTCCACTTTCAAACCAGGAGCCAGACATACCAGTGGTCCTTTTCAGCTGCTCCACGAGCGCAGGAAATGTTCACCAAGGGGCGCAGAGCAGCATCCATTCCAGAAAATAAGCTAAAATACGAGTGAGACTGCATGACTGAGTACATGAGTACATGTATGAGTACATGCAGAAAATAGTCAATTTCAGCGTTTCTGCTCCAAACAGCAACTAGCTTCGACTAGAAACAAAGATTACACCAAAGGATCAAACAACAACCATTTTCAGCAGTTTTTTTGCAGATAGCTTCCTTGTGCTTGGCCCAGCACGCCCAAAATCACACCTCGGAGGAGTACAAAAATTACAACTCTCAGATGTCCTCGATTGCTGGCCATGCATTGATTCATTGACTCTTTTCTTCATGACACTGCAAGATTAATCACAACAACCTCAGTCATGAAATCACGCAGGGCATCTGGGCTTACGATTCGAGGGTTAGGCTTCGCATCGGCCGGGCTCAATGACGACTGGCCAGCTGCTGCTGCTGCTGCTGGGCGTGTTCCGCCGAGCCTTGATACATGCTGTTCTTGCTGCTGTTGCCGCCAAGCAAGTGTACCCGGCTGCGGACGGCTTCTCTGAGTAGAATCGTTCGCTGACCGTCCGGTCACAGCCAGATTGGGAGCGGAGAACGACTTCATGTAGGAGTCATCAGACCCGAGTCTGTGAGAAGAAGAGTAGCAGGGGAAAAGGTCAACATATTTGGGAGGAAGGTGAACGGAAGAAGTATGGTGTACATGATTGGAAAGTGCCAGAAAGATTTGCATTTAATATCAATCTCACAAGAATTATGCATGAATCAAACATCTACCTACAAGGGGGTATGTGAGGCATGGCTTTCTGAGATCATACTCACTGTGCTGTACGAGGCCCGGGCCGTGCTCCACCGTACATCGATACACCAGCCTGACCAGTGGCCCTACTGCTGCTGCCCACACTGGGTCTTCTGAGAAATGTCTCTGAATATCCGCTCGCCTGGTCAGGCTCAGTCTGCTCCGATGATGTTGAGTAGGATTGCGTATGTCCAGCAGCAGCATCTCTGTAGTGTGCTAGTCGTGCTGATGCACTTGCGGCACTGGCGGAGGAGACACGGGGCTTTGCGCGACCATCCCTGTTGTAATGCATTCCTGTAGCGCCGCCTCTGTACGGGTGAGTACCAGCGGCTGCACTCGCGTGCGCTTGAGACTGGGGTTTGGGCAGGGCGCCCGGCGGAGGACGACCATGTGCAGGATGATAATGGCCGTAGGAACCAGTGGAAGCTGCTGCTGCGGCTTGGTTTTCTCTAGTCTGGCCGGCTTGGCTGCCTGTGTGTGTGGCAGTAGTAGCAGAGGTGGTTGATGCTAGTGCAGTAGCGTTTCCGGTACTAGCAGTTTGCGGTGTGGCCGTGGTGCTGCCTGTGACCCCACCATTGCGACCAGTGAGCGTCTCTGCATCAGTGTCTTCGTCGTCGTCTTCCTCGTCCTCGGTTGACCCCGGTGACGACGAGGAGGATGATGTTGGCCTCTGCGATTCCTGTGCCCGCGGCGGAGGGAAATGTGGAAGTCGCCTGGTGCAGATCCGTTTTCTCTTTGACCGTATGCACTGCAGGTACACAGGTACACAGGTACACAGGTACACAGGTACACAGGTACACAGGTACACAGCAGCAAGTTGCAGTTACAGTTAGTACACACATACCTCGTTTATCCGGGCGGTCCGGGACCGGGCATTGTCCGTAACTTTGAAATGTCCGTAACTCCGAATCACATACATTTTGATGGGGAAAGGCCATTATGACGTCAGTATTCCACACAAAGTGACAAAAGAGTAGTAATATTTCCACTAAAGTTCTTCCAAAGGGTGCCCAGTAGACCGAAGTGCCCGTAACTTCGGGGTCCGGATAACCGAGGTATGAGTGCACTTAGATACTACAGTGTAGTATATCAGCAAGTGTATCTCATACTAGATCAGCCAAGATAGAGATGGAGCGTGCTTTCCCATTGTTCCTTTTTAAGGCTATTTTGGTGTAACCGGAAAGGGAGGTCAAAGCTTTGAAGAGGATTGCCGGGTTGAGATCTGAACAGCAAACTGAAACAATGACACGCTGCATGAACAAGAAGGTCGGTCCTTAGCAGTCCATGTACTCTGGGCATTGGAATTTCCTTGTCACCTCACTCTCCACACTCTCCACACCAGCAGTGTGATGGCTGAAAGAGTCGGAGTCAGAGTTAGCGAGACTTACCTCGTAGATTTTACGCCGGTAGTTCTCCGTGGTCAGCATGACATCATCATCCAGAGCTGGTACAATGTCATACGACATGGACAGCTCCTTCTCTGGCCGGTGGAATCTGTGATGGAAACAGCAAATCCCGGGCTCAGTGGGTGAACAATACTTTGTCACGCTAGTGTGTTAGATGCTGGAAGGAGGCTTTCAGTTCCACGTGGACTGGAACACTACACTTCTACTTGTGCAATTATAGGCTGTTTGCCTAATTGTATAACGTATTGCCCCCTTTTTCAAAAACCCACGGAACTATCAGATGCTGCACAGCAGGGCGGTGGCATATTGGATGGAAGTGGGGAGGGGGGGGGGGGGGGGGGGAAGAAGTTCCTAGCAATATGATAGTGTCGTGGTAACAGCCAGACACAATGCATGTCACAGTCGGAATTAGAGGTCACATGTACAATGGCAAGGTACACACGCTGAGCAGAGTTGCGGCTGACTTGCTGCAGTGCTCAACCCACGAAGAGGAGCCTGCCATATAAGTTCACAGTGGGGGGGGGGGGGGGGGACTTTGTCTGCTGTGACTCAGAGTTCCATGGCTAGGTGCATGAAGTGCACAAGCAACCCATATTAGAAATGTGGTTATACCAGCTTTGGACAACGTGGCACAAGAAAGTATCATGCTGGAATCTAGAAGGTTCTCTGCCCACGGCCACAGGCATTGCATAAAGGTGATATGTTCATGTAAAACTCGTATTTCTCGCAGTTAGAGACGTGACTGACTTTGATGCTTTGAGCTGAATAAAAAAAATTGTAAGCTCGAGAATTCATTGCGATTGGTTCAGCCAGTAACTCTGAGCTCTGCCGGCTCTGCTGGCTTTAGAGTATGTGTAGAGAAAGGTGTTTTTTCAAGTACTTCAAGTAGTGATTTCATACTTCACTGTTTGTGTGTGTGTGTACGAGTACAGAGAGGGTTTCGTCGCCGTGATTGTACGCATCACTGTAACACTTACTGTTGGACATAGCGGTGAGACAGCACGTCCTCGGCCGCGAACCGTCGCTTGGGACTCCAAGAAAGCAGCTGTGTGACGAGATCAATGGCATCTGCTTTAGCACCGGGTAACCTGTCAGCCAGAGATGCGTTGGACCTGACAACACAGTCCATGGTAGAAACATAACATATCACACATCATCAGACTAGCCAACAACGAACACAGGGAACAACAGCAATAGCACCCACAATTGTGATGACCACAGCAGTGGCAGCAGCAACACCACCAGCAGCAGCTTCAGTAAAGAGGCCAAGACGAACAAAGCCAGAACCGCCGTAAACAGTTATTGATTGGTCCGGTAGGATCATAGCCGTTCATACAGTTTGTGTATGCTATGGCGGGTACACATGACCTCTACAGTAAGAACACGTGTTGGTGTCCAAGAGGTTGGTCCGGTGATAACCGTGGCTGACCAACCAGACTGGTTCCGGCGGGCCTGGAGGTTTTACAGCTGTGTTGGGCACAATTGAATACAGCCTTCAGTGCCCTGGAAAACTTACCTCTTCTTCTGTGCTAGAAGTTTCCTTGAATACTTGGCCTCCATTGCTACAATATCTGCAGAGAGAATGTGAGTACGTGGAATCGTGAGGTATACTATTCGGAGAGATGATCATAATATCAGTCAGTTGCATAAGAAGCAATACATACATGCATCGTCTATTCAAGTTCCCACAATAGTGTACTGTGTTGCCATTACGTCTGGTGTTCACCCCAGACTGTGTGGACTCATGAGTAGTAGTAGTAGTATTTATTATTTGACTAGGGGAGTCCCAACAGGCATGGCCTTGTTACAGGGAACCCTAGGTGAATCTTTGTGAGGTGAGCAAAAGAACCAGCAGATTGTGCCTGACGACAGTTTGGAGGAAGAGTGTTCCACCGACCTGCCGCCAGAAAAGAAACTGAGCGCAGTCCATACCCAATATGTACAGTAGGTAATACTAAGGCAGCTGTATCCTGGCCACGAGTACGAGCATTTGTGTGCGGGCCAACTGAACGCAGGAGAAACAGTGACTGAAGGAGGGGGCTAGTAATTGATGACAAGCAGCGATAGACCAAAACGTATAGTTTCAAATTAACTCGTTGCTCAAACGAATACAGATGACACCGTTGTAAAACTAATGCAGTTGGGGTCATTCTATCTAAACCAAATGCCTTCTTCATCGCAATATGGCTGACCGTTACAAGCCTGTTATATAGGGTAGTTTTCAAACAGTGCACATACGCATTACTTGCATATTCTAGAGTAGACTGTATAATTGACAAGAAGAAAGTTCTCCGAGCTGTAGCTGATAAATTGCGACAGCCATGAGCAAAACAGGCTAGTTTAGCGAAGACCACTGAACACACCTTTTCTACTTGTGGGCGGAACGTTAGATGCTCATCGATTAGTATACCGAGGTATTTCACAGTAGAGACAGGGGAAATGACAATACCTTTACAGGTCAGGTACAGGGCTGGGCTCAGTGCAGGCAGGGCAGGACGCCGTATCAACATGAACTGTGTTTTAGTGGGGTTGAGCAGAAGGCCTTTCTCATCAAGGTATTGCTCTAGCAACCGCATACTATCCTGCAAGCGTAGCATAATTGTAGCCACATCAGAGCCGAATACGTAGAACGCAATATCATCAGCGTACAGCTGCACGACACTCTGGTGAAATATATCGGGTACCCGGCGAATGTAGACGCAGAAAAGCAAAGGCCCAAGAACAGACCCCTGGGGGACCCCTCTTGTACAGGGTTTGGTGTCACCCTTCTCACCATTGACAGTAACCTGCTGGCTGCGGTTCGTGAGATAGTCTGAGAACCACTTGAGGACAGTGCCGCCTAAGCCAGTGGTGGCTAGCTCTCCCAGCAGACCTGTGTGCTGCACACGGTCAAACGCCTTGCTCATATCCGCAAAGACTACTCCGCATTGGTCACCGTTGTCAAGTGCTCTGTTCCATCTGTCTATGCAAAGTGTCAGGGCATCCTCACAGCTATGGTGTGAGCGGTACGCAAATTGTTCAGCTGGTATGGCTGACAGGTCTGGATTCTGGGTGAAATACGAAGTGACTTGCTTGTGGACAACCTTCTCTAGGATCTTGGCCGCGATAGGCAACAGTGAGATTGGCCTGTAGTTGGTGGCTGAGGTCTTATCACCAGATTTGTAAACAGGGCAGACATGGGCATGTTTGTAGGCAGCAGGAAAGATGCCAGAGCGAAGAGACTGGTTGACGATAACAGTTAACGGATACGAGACTGAATCTCTGCAGGATTTCAGGATGCAGGACGGAATATCATCGGAGCCGGTGGCTTTGTTGGATACCAGAGATTCAAGCAACTTGGAGATGGTATCGACGCTGACGGTATCAAACTCCAAAAGAGTAGTGCTATTGGGGTCTGCAACGGGTAGGGGCAGCTCGACTGGTCTGGCAGGGTCATGGACGATCTCGGCGAAGGTAGTTGTCAGATCGGCGAGTGTGGCTGCTGGGGCAGCCCTCACTGCTGTTCTACCAGACAAGCTATTGATAATGGCCCATTGGCCTCGTGGGTCGTGGCGACGATTTTTGAACTGTCTGATGTAATACTGTGACTTCAGCTGCCTGTTGAGGAGAGTGCCTTCTCGCCGTATTGCACGATACCTCTGCAGAAGCTGTTGATCTGACGGGTGAGTGCGTACTTTTCTATGTAGGTGGATTCGTTGCTGGAGGAGGTGTTTCAACTGAGGTGTCACCCATGGCTGAGGCTTCGGTTTACTGAAAGCTGGTGAGACCACGGGGCAGATCGGTGAATGTTTGTCTAAAACTCGAGTAATACAGTGTGAAAGCTGGGTGACTTGTGCATTGACATCAGCTGACTTGGGAAGAGGCTCCAGAGTGCTGTCGATATCATCACAGAGTGTAGCGGGGTCGATTGCATGTGGGAGCGGTTTGCGCACGAATTTGAGGCGGGAGTTAGCTTGCTGCGTGGCTTTGTAGGAGAAGTTAGTCAGAACGAGATCATGGTCGCTTACGCCGTCTACAGATACTACAGTTGTCTTAACATGTGGTGCGGCAGCATAAACGAGTATTAGATCCAGACATGTCTTGGCAAGTCGCGTTGGTGAAGTCACGACATTGCGGAGGTGAAACTCGTCACACAGATTGGACAGGTGCTTGTAATGGTGGTTATTTGATGATTGCTGTAGCACATCAGTGTTAAAGTCCCCTAGTACAATAATCCTGCTAAATTTACGGCTGATGACGTCAAGATGCTGACTGCACAGGTTCCAGAAGTCGACAGTTGCACTCGGTGGACGATATATACTGCACACAGCCAGCTCAATAGCCTTAGGTTTGGTACACAGGCGAAGACGAACAGAGACACACTCCACTCCTAGCTCAGTGATGGGAATTCTGATAGAGTGAATATCAGAATGGACATAAATGCATACCCCTCCACCATGTAGATCTCTATCCTTGCGATATAGATCGTAGCCTGGTATATGAACACTAGAATCGGGTATGCTGCTGTTTAGGTGGGTTTCATTCACTGATAGCACGTGGATCTTATGGTGGTGCAGGAGATGGTGAATGTGATGGACCTTGTTTCTGAGACTACATATATTAATGTGAGATATGGTGAGTTGGCTTACTGGAATGATGACTTCTTGCTCTTCGGGTAGCAGCACAGGTACGCATATTGGTTTAGGTGTTCTGGTTTGTTTCATGATGGTGGACAATTGTATTGTTGTTGTTGTTTCAAATCTTTATCAGGGGCGTCACAGGGCTGTTTGGAGTGGTACGGCCGGGGTGTCCCCCGGAGAAAAAATTCGGATTTTTCGGCCAACAGGGCACGTTTTAGCACTCTACAGCCGCAAAGGAGGGTTCCCCTATAGCATTAGACAACCCACTCCAGCTAAAAAAAACGCTTCTCATGGATTTTTTGGTATTTTCTGTACATCATCATATGATCATGCATAGGTGGCCAAGGCAAAAATGAAGCTATTGCCCTCGAAAAAATCGCAAAATCCGAAGTACAGTCCTAGCGCCAGCCGCTGTGCAAAAACTAGGAACGTATGTCATGTCCTGCGAAAGTGCGCCGCGCCGCGCCGCACGACCTGCCCGCGGACAGTCGCGAAGTACAGTACGTCATGTAATGTATTATGTTAGTTGCATTTTTTATAGAGAGAGAAGAAGATCTTTTTTTGTTCGTTGGGATTGAAAGATCTGCCAGTGGACTGGAGAGCTACAACACTGGAAGCAGAAGAAAGGGCTTGCGGAATCTTCTCTGTCTTCATGGCAACAGGACTTAAGTTTGCGAGAGGCTTTCGTCCTGTCGTCGCGGACGCAATTATTGTTGCTGCTACCAGAAAATTCGAACGAAACGATCTTATGTCGTTTGGTGGAGCGGGTCGTGTCGGTGAACAGCTGCAGAATGTTCTGCCGCCGTAGAGCAGCAATCCAAACACTTTTCAACCTCGGAGAATGAAGCGCTTCCCTAATTCGTTGACAAGCACGGCGTTCGCGGGTGTAGATCATGTAATGTATTTTCGCATCAGCTTGCAGTAGATCGTCAGGAGCCAGAGGAAGGTCTACTAGGTAGGTGTCGTTGTGGAAAGAATATGTTGTTGTAGCTGACAAGTAACACGTTAGTTGTAGTGTCTCTTGACCGTGCTGATCGCCATTGTAACATGGTAGATCTTGGAAATTTTTAGTTCTGGACCCAGTGATCGCCGCCAGCACTGTTTCCGTCAAGTTCGCAGTGAATGCGTCCGTGAGGAATCCATCATCTGGTTGTCTCTACCCGTGACTCCAACCGCCTATCGCCATGGATAGCCGCCTGGAGTCTTGGGGTGCTAGCTGCTAGGCATCAAGTCTGAACCTAATAATTGTATGCTCCTTGCAATGAAAGTTGTGATGTTTCGTACAAGTCCGAAGATCCTTGAATTTTTTATTGCTTTTTTGGATGAATTGGGTGGACCGTCCTGGACGAAAAGTGGTACGACCATGGTCGTAGTGGTCGTACCGTGTGTGACGCCCCTGTTTATTCTCACGATGGCCAGCGGACAATAAGGTTGTTGTTGTTGTTTGTTGTTGTGTGGGGAGGGGGTAGTGACGATATGGCTAGCTTACCTCCAGAGGTTGGTGCGGGCAGTAATCTGGCTATTTGCTCGATCTGGTTGAAGGAATCCGTTCCAGGGAATACGGCTTTACCTGTCCAGCAGCGACATAGTGCAGTGAAACACATCACATGCCGTATCGCGTTACAACCTTATACACACACTGAGTCCAGTCCGCGTATCGTTATGTGTAGGGCGTTTGGAGTTGCCATGCAGTGTTAGTCAATACAGATACAAATCTTCGCTAACAAAATTTGCTTTTCTGGAACAGCTATGCTATGGGCTGTAGCCGCCATTAAAAAAAAAAGAAGCAAGAACAGCCATGCTCAAGGGCTTCTCCTCTGGTTCTCTGTGGCCTTCGATCATCTTGCCTTTCGAGGTTATGCAAGCACATGCCATGTTTAAGTGTTGGTAAGAAGTGGTAACAGAAACACTGGTTTGCCACTCCACTCCATACAAGGCATGTACATATGTGATTAATTTTTATTAATTTTTATTTATTTACTGTCTGCACTTCATGGCACATAATTATGTCACGTAGGCAGAAGAGAACAGAGACAACCGCCGGCTAGGTCATTGTGGTAACGCTGCATGTCATGCACATAGCATTTCATGCCGCTTACCTTTGCTATGTGTATGTGCATGAAACGAAGCGTTAGAACTTTGACCTAGCCGGCGGTTGTCTCTGTTCTCTTCTGCCTTTGTGGTAATGCTCCATCCTTGTGGTGTTGAGCACTCTAGTCAATCTGAGAACTCTCGCTATTATGTAATTATGTCATGTGTTTGTTGGCCACTCCATACGATGATGTCATTCGTGTGATCTCTAGAGTTCAGACAAGCAGCTTACCAATGTACAATTCTGCCACGATGCAGCCGAGCGACCAGGAGTCTATGCCTTTCGTGTACCTGCAGTGTCCAGAGAACAATAAGAACAAACTCAAGAAATTCACAAATGACAATCGAGACAGGTACTCTATGTCTGCCAGTACACGTATCGACCGTTAGAAAGTTAAATTGGACGATTGGCCGAAAAGGGTTAGGTTCCTCATTATGGATTTGCATACACTGCACATTTAATCATCGGCCTTTTTGGCCATTATCAGAAAAATGATGAAATGGATTTATGTCATCGCGGTTTGCATCTACTTGGTCCGTTTCATCGCATTTGTCGCTTATCTATCGCAACTAAGAACAGGAGTTTTTTTACCGCTCTGTAAAATTTCCAATACGCATAGTGAAGAAGCATGATACAGGATTTCTGTCCGCCACAAGCAATAAATTCAGCGATGGAATCTGATGAAGCAAGTCGAAGAAAGGAAGCAAGGTTACAAAAATGTACAAAAGAAAACAGCGACGGAGCGCCTTCTTGCACTCACGCTTTAGTTTATCCGACTCTGGCTCTGTATCACTCGAGCTGATGCCACTTGAGCTGACATTCACTGGTGTGTATAGCTGCTGGCGTAGAGTACCGTATCTCTTTCTCCGCTTGGCATAGCATCGATGGGAAAGGAACAGTCGCGGCTCACTTTGGCACTTGGAGGAACGTGGGCAGCGTGACCCGTCTGTCACTACAGTACTGTGTGTTCAACAATATTTTTGAATCAGGCACACACCCCTCTCCAGACAGCTGTCATACGCTCTGCTGGATACGCTGACCACGACTCTTGTACTGCCGCTGCCAGGTCGGACAATGTCTTCTTTGCCACCATCTCGCCATCAGTTTGCAGGCTTGCAAAGAATACCAGGTCATTGCAGTTCAAACATTGCAGTTCAAACAACTCAGCTGGCTGGCCTGGCCGTTACTGTCACGCTCTCCAGGTCAGGATGTCGATTTCCCCTGCTACAGTTCCCGTCTTTGAGCTGCGCTTGGCTTTTCGCTGCAGTGAATGTGTGCATTAACTGCATTTACTGCAGTGCATTCACTGCAGCGAAAAGTTTCCCACTTTCCCATCAAAATTGTATGAATCGCGATGCCACTGGCGCTAGTCGCGATGGTTTTTTTCTTTCTGGTCTCCTTTGATCTTGCCATCACAACCTCCCAAACGAATGTGAGTTAGATATCGAGATCGGACTAGGTTTTACCTGTCAAAAGGTGCGTGGGAGATAAGCGACAATTGCGATGAAACGGACCAAGTAAACACTTCCTATTTACTAGGCCTGGCTAGCTCAGGATCACTCACGATTTTGACCCCAGCAGGATTTCCGGCGCCCGATACCATCTCGTTGCAACATAGTCCGTCAGTACTGGATTGGTGGGATCTTCGCTGACCTGCGCCACACTCCTGGCGAGTCCGAAATCGCAAACCTGCACAGAAGTACATGTACACACGACGACATACAAAGGACATGCACGGCATAAGCAAATCACGTAACATTGAAACATAATGCCAGCCAAGCACAACTTAAACTCAGTGAAAAAAATTATATCTATATACCTCCCTCCCCTGCCTTCCTTGGTACTTGTCCTGTGATACTAGCGCATACAATGCGGCACTTGATGGAATAGCAAACTACTTACCTTCACAAGACAGTTCTTATCCAGTAAGATGTTGCTGGGCTGTACACACACAAACAACACAGCCACACAGGACACCATGGTAACATGATACCATGGTAACATGACACCATGGTAACCACAGCACGGAGTCCTTACCTCACAAGGAAAAAGCACGGCCTGCATGATCTAGAAGCATGCTAGTTTTCCATCACAAAACAACACTTTACATCCCATTTCCGGGGAAGTGTACACTACATGATTGTACATGTAGGTACAACACTGACATGAGTTCCAAGCTAAGAGGAAACACAACACACTGAGGAAGTTACAGTGCAGGGCCATCATCAGAGCACAGAGGCTTACCTTGAGATCCCGGTGTATAACCCCACCGGAGTGTATGTACTTCAGTGCTTTGGCAATCTGCAAGTGACAACACCAGCAACAGGAAGACCATTATACGTTAGACAATACTATAACTCAGGAGAATGTATGCCAGAACTTTGCAGCCTAGAGAGCGTGTGTGGGCAGGTGTGTATTCACCCCCATATTGCCAGGTGTGTCTTTACCACCATATTAATCAACCATATATAAATAACTGATAGCATAACCGGCTGCACTGCCCCCCCCCCATACACACACATGAGAGAGCTGCCAGCCACGAGTCAGGACCATCATTGTGTTTAGTCTAGAAACGTCTTTGCATTTCAAGAAGATTTACAATGTAGCCGCTATCAATATTTCGAAGGAGTTTCTATCGGTTTGTCCGAGCATACAGACATGACGGGAAAACAAGGACAACTGACTCCCATGGGACGAACAAGAAGACTGACAAAAAGGACTCTCAACTACAACATCGCGCATGCTCATATCACACATGCACGCGACTACACAAAGACAGGTTGGGGGATGTCATCACACAGGAAAACAATACATCGTTTCATAACAGCCATGGACACCGTGTGGCCTACCTGGTAACAAATACTTCGCTTGTGAATGTCTTTGAGGATGTTTTGCTTGATAACACGGTGCAGGTCGGTAGCTGCCACAAGTTCAAAACACGCACACGCATACACACGCATACACACACACACACACACACACACACGCACATGCACACACACACACACACACACACACACGCACACACACTGGAAACAATCATGACTGTGCCAGGATATGTAATGGCAACATATATGCACCGTCTGTCTGATAAAAACGAAAGCTCTCACGGATGTGCGTAGGGAGCTGGCAATCTGATGTGCAAGAAACTAATGTAAATATTTTTTGGTTTTGGCAGCATTCGAACGCTTCACCGTCTGATGAGTTGGCAGAATTTCCTGCGCCCGTAACGAAGTGAGAGAGAGAGAGAGACAGAGGGAGGGAGAGAGAGAGAGAGAGAGTGAGAGTGAGAGAGAGAGAGAGAGAGAGAGAGAATAACGTTACAACAGAAACTAGGCAAGTGAAATCCAAGCAAGGCTATAATGTCAGCATCACTAACTTACTCATGTATTCAAACACTAGGAAGAGGTCAAGATCGTTGCGGGCTTGCATCATTTCACAGAGATTGATGATGTTTTCATGTTGTTTGAGTTCCTGTGCACCAAAATCGCACACAGATGGTTTCAATTAAGGCCAGAATCCAAGACAGGTATTAATATACAGTCAGACCTCGCTTAACCACACACATCTGTTTTCCACGAAAATATCCGGATAGGCGAGGGAACCGGATAACCGAAAACCGTTTATGTTGGATGCATCACGTATGCTGTAAATATGTAACCAGCTATTTTCTTCCGGATGGCGAGGGATCCGGATAAGCGACGTCTGACTGTAATGTAATGTAACATAATGTGCTTAGCAAGGGGACACACATACCCCCCCCCCCCACACACACACATATACCCCCCCCCACACACACACACACATACCCCCCCCCCCCCCACACACACACATACCCCCCCCCCACACACACACACACATACCCCCCCCCCCCACACACACACATAACCCTTGTAGACAAATTCACCACTCTCAGCAGCAATCTTCCCTTCTGCAGTCAGCATCCACAATGTACAATGTTCCGAAATGAATAGCGAGATGCTTGACCTCAATCGACCGACTGATCTGCTTGCCCGGTGTGCCTCTACTCCCACTGCTGGTCACACAGTCTCACTCCGTGAATAATGTAGCTACCCCCCCCCCCCTCCCAACACACACACACACACACACACACACACAAACCCATTCAGAAAACATCAGACACAACACTGATGCGGCACCACTATATCTGATAAGCAAAGGCAATTAGGCATACATGTAGGCACTGTAGCCATACTCACCAGCAGGAACATCACCTCTCGAAACGTTCTCTGCGAACACACACAGCAAAGAAAAGACATGAAAACAAGCACCGTGATGATGACGAGCAACAGCCTTCTAATTGTCATACATTACCTGCTGCACTGCATGCGCTCAAACCGTACATTGGACACCATAGGCAACCGGCATACTACACGAGGCGGACCTCGCTTCTGAGCTGCCCATTCCAGTCACCGTTTGGAGCACTGCTGAGGGCCGGTGATCTATACACATGCTGTATACTAGCACTGGACGCCTGCGATACATTCAGCTGTTCGGGCAGTTGATTGCGATAATGGCTGGCTGCATTCATGGGTACTTCAAATCCAGGGTCTAAATTCAGGGATCTAAAGGCATGTGAGTTCGCAAGCTGTGGCCATTAAAATATTGTTCTCTTCCTCTATTCTCTGAGACTACCGTCTGGCATGCATGCATCACACGTACAATTGGGGAGCAAACAAGTTATACATGCAACATTGATGGTAGTATGCACGTACAGGACATGTATTACTGATTCAATACAATTATCTTCGGTAATAATACTATCCACTGGTTTGAGGGAAAGACGCAAACGGGAAAAGTCTGAAGAAAAAAAGTGACTGTCACCACCAGGACTCGAACCAGGGACCTTCGCTTGTAGCTAGCGATGCTCTAACCACTGAGCTATGGTGTAGTCGTCATCCCAGCAGAGACCGTTCAACATTATCTTCAGACTTCGTAACTCACACTTCCTGTGAATCCACACAGGCGGGTGGGACTCAATAATACTATGAAACTACTACTATAATATAAAACCCGTCTTCTACGAGTTGCAAGGGGACTGCTTAGCCGAGAGCTAACACTTGCTGAGGCTATACTATCTACATGTGTGTTGAGAGTAGGCTGGCTATCATTCATGAGAGTCAGTGACGGACTGCCTTAAGGCTGAGTTTTAGTCACACAGGTCTGATTCATACGTGACTAGTGAGTCGTAGTTTGCAGACTCAGTACTGTAATTTCATAAATTTTCGGTGTACTTTTATTTTGGTATTTTCGGTGCATCTGTTTCACACCTAAAATTTCAATACACCGAACAAACACTGACACAACATAATTCAATTGGGAACCGCTTCTCTGTACTTAAATTTTCTGTTCGCCTAACCTGGCCTTTTGCCCTCATACCGAAAATACTGAGCACCGAAAATTTCTTAAATTCGAGTGTATAATACAGCGGTGCACATTGAAATCCAGTCACGTCGCTCAAGTACACGCCCGACGACGTTGCACAGCCATAAACCTGCGAACACTGGGCTGCGAAATGATGCAAGGCGCAAACTTGAGTGATGCAACTGGATTTCATTGAGCAGCACTGTACAAGAGATAGTCTAGCCTAGACTCTACACAGTCAGGACGACAGTTGACAATACATCAGTCCCTTCAAATCAGTTCTAATAGAAATCATGGTTACGTAGACAATGGGCCAATGTGTACACAATTCTTCTGTACACTGTACTGTCTGCACTCATACTCACACTCATAGACACACATGACAGTGGACCAAGTATTATGTGGTAAGCAAAGCACCAGTGAGTGAGGCTGCATGGTATGTGCTCAAAGCATAACACAGTCATGCCTCACTGCGCACCATCAATACTTTCATTGCATGTAAGTAATTTTTGAGTAATACTAATAGTTATACTCAGGTTGTGCTGCTACTAGTGCGATGTTATTCTGTGCTAGATGATAGATCTACTCTCTGTCAGTCTGTGTAGAGCCCTATCCAGCATGCACAATGCCATGATGATGACTTTTTTGATGTACATTGTACCTGTGCATCTGTGGAGTTACCAAACGCGTCGAATATCCTCTTGACGGCCACCTCCTGGCCAGTTTTGCGCTCCCTGGCACGATAGACAATTCCATATGCCTGCAATTATCCACACAGCGACCATACCAAACACAGCACGGTGAAGTTAGAACGCAAGACCGTCACAATCGGCCGATACAGGGGGATCAATGCTGGAGCAATTTTCATCCAAATGATAATTTTAGGTGAAAATTGCATGCCACGATTCGATGAGTACTTACTCCCTTGCCGATCCGTTTGAGAATCTCATACTTGGCAACGACATGAGCATCGAGAGTCTCGTTCATCTTGGCGATTCCATCCACCGCCTCGTCCTCCAATATAGTATTATTATTCCATTCGTTAGCTGCTGGGCTCGATCCTTGCCAAGCCTGGCGGAGTTCTTTCAAGGTGCGTGTACGTCGTTTCGCTCGCCTCTTTCGTTTCGCCCGGTTTGGCTTGCATATGCGAGCAGGCGGCATTCTACTCACGCCACTAGGACTACTGTGATTATCAGGCATAGCGATTCCTGGATCGACGATAACGCCGGGTAGATGACACGAGAGCGACAGGCGAGATAGGATTCCACTCTCCGGTGGCCTCTGAAATCTGTCACTGCCCAGACTCTCGCTCGCCACTAGCGAAAATTACTCACCCGATCCGTTTTTGTCCTGTACTGGAGAGTGGGGAGAGGAGTCTGTAGCGACTGTGTTACCGTGTGGAGTGCGGAATGCGTTGCGTGAACTGCACGGCCAGGATAGTGCACAGAGCTAGAGTAGAGTAGAGACAGACACTGAGACAGACAGACAGACAGTGTACATGAACTTGATGAAGTAGTTAGCGTAGGCGAAAGCGAAGTGCTAAGCCACGGTTGCCAACGCTACCACCGTTTTCAAGGCAGCACACGCATGCATGTCCAGGCAGTGCATGATGACTTGATGTACTGGAGTCTAGACTCTAGTCTCTGCTGTCCTGATCTGTGAGTGTGACGCAGACTGCAGCATAGCAGTTCGTGCCGTGCGACTGCGAAAATAAAACAGCCTGCCATGTACGTAGCTAATCTTGAACAAGTAACTAATTTTGTTAGTTGAGGTCTATCACTCTACATGTATAGTCTATGAATGATACATGACACGATATTTGCGTGGACCTTATGAAGTTATGTTATCTGGTTATGAAGGCTTGCTTTCCATCACCAGCAGACTATGGTCGAGACATTCCACCAAATCCGCAATGGCCTTCGGGTGAGAAGGTAAAAATGACTACAGCGCTATGTTTAGTAATACCGGTCATGATGGTCTACTAGTACTACATCATGTACATGAGTTGTTGGCAGCACATCATTGCAGTACATGTACGAGTAGTACCGTACTGGCATATGTTGCCGCGTAACGCGTAACGCAGGGGGGTGCGGCGTAACGCGCGACCAGGCTAGTGCGACAAATTTTCGTTGAGTTCGTAACGCGCGTCCGGCGGGGTGCGGCGATCTTTTCATTGCAGTTTGCACTGCAAAAAAAGGCTGAAAACTGTGAAAGCACGTGTACCGCGCGGTGAAAAGTAGTTTTTGGAGGAAGCGCTCTTCCCGTTTTGTGACTTTCCTTTTGATGATCTTTTGTGAACAGATCACTCTGATAGTTAAAATATACAGTCTTCTATTGATATCGTTGTCGCCCTTTGCCGTCGGGTTTGTAACAGTTGGATAGCAACTGAATTTCTGTGCCTTCAATGTGGATGAAAAGAAAAAATGATGCGGCAATAGCAAAAAAGTGATGCGGCAATAGCAAAAAAAGGACTGCGGCAATATAGAAACCTGTGTAACGGCTCCTGTGCGACGTTGCATGTAACGCCCTGCGTGCGGCAAACATGTGCCAATGTAACGCTTCATGGCCTCACTGCGGCAACATATATTGCCAGTACGGTAGATCTACGCAGACCATGGAAGAAGCTGTTTCTATTAGTTTGTGGCGAGGAGGATGTCCATACAGCTGTCTTGGAGTTCAAGTAACGCCAAAGAATCACGATACAGGACATGTGCATCTACTGTACATGTCACGTGTGTACTAAAATGCTCAAGAGAGTTGTGGGCGCTACGCCATTCTGACATTACATTCTGCTGCATGTAGAATGCAATGGTGTACACGGTGTTATATTCATGCTATCAATCTAACAACATGGTGTACATGATTGTATGTGCTACAATAACATGAAGACCATTGTATGGCATTACCAGATTACTACCGACACCATACCAGGGTAGTGGCAGTGACACTACATGCATACTCATAGTACATGTACAGACAGTGTATGTCCGTATCCACAGTGCTGCTGCTCAATGAAATCCGGTCGCTTGAGTCCAGGACATGTAGTTTGCACCCTGCACGATTTCTATCCCCCCCACCACCACCAGTGTTGTTCGCAGGTCTAGCGCTATGCAACGACTACGTCCAGTGCCTGCTTGCGCCACTCGATCGGATTTCATTGAGCAGTTCAGTGTATCGAATGGAGGAGTTTACAAGGTAAAGTCTACCAGGGGGTCGTATAAAGTCTACATGTCGAAGGTTCGATGGACTTCCCGTGTGCTCTGGATGGCAGTCGCGAGTCAGTCAAGTGTCAAGTAAAGTCAGGGGAATAGCGTGAGCTCCAGTGTGGGAGCAAACTCATTCCTAATGTACATGACTCCCTAGAGTCTACTATTTTATCAGCAAAAGACTAGTAGTAGTACGTACATGTAAGTACGTAACCCCCAGACCGGCGCGCGGCGCTTAGCCTTGGAATAACATCACACTAATAATAGTACTGTGGACAGGTGATTTCTAGTACTGTGGACAGGTGATTTCTTGTAACACTTTACCACCGTGACCGTGGCGCCTGTGTACACAGTTACACTGTGCTGTACCTGTGTGCATGGTGTGCATGGTGTGTGTTCTGACTTTCTGTGGCAACGACGCAACGTTTAGCTTTGCGTGGGAACTCGGAAGACTGCCATGGCATGGGCAAGGAGTTGCAGCATGCACTGATGCAGCAAGTACCGGTAGTCGTCATACATGTACATGTACTACATGTACATGTACATGTATAAAGTTCTTTGAGTAGTAACCATAGTAACCGTGATATCAGTGCGTCGAGAATGAACCTACATGTATTCAAGCTATTGTCGGCATTGCGAGTGCAATTCTCAGCACTGTGAATAGTGAAGAACATACGCACACATTGTACTACAGTTGCGCTCACTGAAATCCGACCCAATGTGCAAAACTGGCACCCTCAACTTCCACGGCCCTTGACGCCCTGGCAGTGGAATGAATGCGGCTGGACGTACACATGTACACCCACAATGATGTAATCGGAACTGGTCCAGGGCGCCAGCTTTGCACTTTGGGTCGGATTTCATTGAGCGCAACTGTACATGTAGTATATTCACATGTATCCTCCTCACTCCTCAGCTTCTTCTTCTTCTTCCTAAGTAAGGCTGTTGTCGGATACTCCCTCGATGTGAACACCTGTGTAGAATCCATAAATACCAAAATACTGGTACCAGTCCTACCAGTATGGTAGACAGTTCAGATGACAGCCTTCTGCTGGAATGGTGCCTTCAGTGGTGACTGGTGGAGAGGAAAGAAATCGACAGCATTGTGCGGCAGTGTACGCCACTAGTCCAGAGTTTGAAAGTGTTCCGTGCCGCTGCGTGTATCAAGGGGCTGGCAAGAGTCTCGGAATACCACCGCAATCCATCCGACGCCAAAGTCAAGACAAGGTGAAGTGTAAAGACGAGTGAGTGTTGGACGGTGCTCTGGACTTTTTAGTTGTGTATCAGGCATGCGGGCTCAGCCTCCTGTCAGCCTGTGCCTGTGACTGTGTGTGGAGAGACCATTGTAGTACTAAGTAACTTCATACAAGACTCTAACCCTCGGTACTAGTCTATGGGTCTACCCTGAAACGATGGTCTTCCGAGAAAGACTGATTCAGTGAGGACCGATTACGCCTGCTGCAGTGCTGGGACTGAACGCTGGTTGTTTGGTGGGTTTGGAATTCCCAAACCAAATCCACTGTAGCGAATGAGGTCCCGAGCTATCCAGGGCCAGGAGAGAAGTTGAAAGGGAGATACCTGTACAATCATGTAGATCTACAATGTAAATCTACATGATTGTACATGTACAAATGAGAAGTCTTGCTGCTGAAGGCGGGTTTCTCTGGTCATTTGTGGAGTCATTAGTTCTGTGATGGACTGCGATGGCTCACCGTGTAGGCTCTTCCACACAAGAGCTCAGGTGTTCTGGTGGAAGTGCTCTGACACCTGGAAAACTCCCAGCCGGGTCAGCAAAGGTTCAGCTGAGTGTCGCATGGGCACACCGTCCGTAGACAATGCGGACTGCTCGATTCAGCAGAACCTGCAGCCTCCTGGTCTCAGCACTCGCCTTGTACTTGTATTGTGTGTTGCGTCATGGTGTCAGACAGCAGACATTGGCAAGGATTGATACTGGGCCCCTGGGAGGCTGGGACCAGGGAGTCGCGACTCCCTGATACAGGGACAGACGTCGACGGCCGTGAGATAAGCAGATCAAGTGTAGGCGATACTATGGCCCACAGTATGATTTTCATAATGGGCCATAGTAATTAGTATCGCCTACACACAAAGGAACCTTGAGGTTTGACAATATTACTGGTCACACTCTCACAGTGCCTCGCAATACCTACATGTACATCAGTGCATGTATGGCAGAGGGTGGTAACAAACGTCCAGTGAATTATCAGGGAGTACACATTATTTATTAATTTTATATAACGCTCAGTGAGTCTCCTGACTACAAGATTGCTACTACTTCAAGTAGTATGTGCAATGAAACGAACGCCCCCCCCCCACCCCCCCCTTACATGTACGATTAAATGTAGTCACTATTAAACGTTACTAAAATTTTATCCGTCAACAAACCAATGTTTGTGTACTTTTAATACAACATATCATCGGAAACGCCCTGTAATAAACTTTTATAAAGCTGTAGCCAGTGTAGGGTTTAGACTCGTGTGTCATAAAGCTGTAGCCAGTGTAGGGTTTAGACTCGTCATGTAGAACAACACCAGAAAATAGCAGAAATGCATTGTCAGAGAAAGAAAAACTGGGCTGTACAGTACACTGCAGTCATGGGGACAAGACAAGACTGAGTGTGATTTGAGAGACTAAAATATCTGACTCTGACTAGTCTGAGTAAAAAGCATGATGTCTTTGTACTATGCGGCGAGTATTATATTTATACGCTTCCTAATCTTACATTTTTCACTTCCTTTCTGCGGTCACCTAACAGTGGCATGTGGATTATGTGGCTGCTATATGCTATAGCGCTACTGCATGCACGGTACACCATCGCAGGCAGCACATACAAGTACAGTGTACATTGTAGGCCCCTAGGCTAGAGGCTATTTATAGGCTATACCGTAGCCATAATAGCCGCAGTATGGGTCGGTGTCAGGTTGACCTGATATCCGTGATATCGTGGTGTCGTGGTACATGGTGACCACACCGCATGACAAATAATTATTGACAATACACAGTCGTCGCGTGAATGTGATCCTGTGTCACCACTCATCACCACCACTCGTTTTTTACTCATAACCATCACTCATCACCTGCGAGAACTGCGGCTCAGTAACACAGCAGTTCCTTGTACAGTGTAGTGTGTTTGCCTGCACTGCACTGCAGTATTTGCTCATTACTTGCTGTAATATTACTGCTGTTAGTACTTGTTACTGGTGCAATGAGTCGAGACGACGAGCAGATAAAGCAATGCTGTAGTGCAGAATGTGTTACACGTGTGTAGACTGTGATGCTGCAGCAACGGCATTCCAGCAAAGGAATCAGGCCAGGTGAAGGCAAGGGTAAAAATGATACGAGTAGAAAAACACCTGGTGGTTGGTGATCTGATGGAGAATAGTTCTAGTACAGACTGTCAACAAGGCAGTTGTGACTGTGTGGACCATGGCCGGCTGCAGTGAGGAGAAGAGCTTCCTCGCTGACGTTGTACTGAGTCTGTACTGTAGCTATTATTATAGCTGTGGACCTTTCCCCAGACCCAGTACACCATACACTGCCTAGCGCCTGTGGCTGTGTGTGGTGGCGGTACTTCCGCAAGTCAAGCTGCTGTGTACTACAAACTGCTGAGTCTGTACCACTATTAGTAATATTACCACACGTAACATAAAATGCCAGCAAAGCAGGGGACTGAGGGGAGGCTACTGTTATACTTATAGTTCCTTATGTCATTGGAGTCTGTAGTCGACTAGTGTAGTGTTCTGGTGTTGGCCACAGCTACAGCTGTGTTGTTTGCAGCACAATGTTGTTATGACTTATGGAGTAATGTCGTAAGCCGAGCGGCGCTGCATCCTGATCCCTTGCCTTGCCCTCGCTGCCTGGACGGCTGGCATGTATGGAGACAGTGGAGTGGAATGTATTGTACTAGTCGTCAATACGAGTAGTAGTACTAGTAGGTTACAGCATCAGCACCAACTCCTAACTCCTATCCGGGTTCCCTGCAGAGCACAGCTAGCTATAAGCAACATCATCAGTGGCTGAGTCTGTGTGTCCGCCAGGGAGTTCTTTGAAGCACACGCTACATGTTGAACTTGTAGTTCTGCTTGCCATCAAGGGCTGAAGGCTAACAGTCTGGGACGGCTCGACCGATGCTACTGCTGCTGCTTTTGGTTATAAAAGAGGCACTTCTCCGGCTTGTACAACTCTCCAGAAGTACCACGTGCAGCAGCTGCCACAACTGTCTTCTGACCGTAGTGTCTACATGAGATTGTGACACGGTGGTGTCTGTAGACATCCAAGAGGCAAGCACTGCATCTACCGCCGGTAGTAGTGGCCCTTTGTACTTTGTAGGTTTCACGTAGCAGTCTTGAGGAGGTCGCGTCGCGTCTCAGTGTGTGTTTTGGGCTTTCAACCTCCACAACGTTCTGGACAGAACGGTTCAGGGGCTGCTGCTGCGTAGAAAGGTAAGACTGTGAATGTTAGTATATTAGATTCTCTGGCAGCACTACCACCCATGGCACCCATGGGCCATGGCATGCATTGCGTGTGTTAGTGTGTTAGAGTGTTAGCTTGATAACAGGTTTCATTGCTTACTCGTTCTCAGCCCGGGCATGAGATGATTGTTCAGGCTGGTGTATACAGTCTGTAGACTAGTTGGTTACCGGCATAGTAACTACCTCGCTACGGGACGCCCTCAACACACTCTGGCAGTGAGGGATTTGCCGTTAGAATTACTATGCCAAGTACGGTGTGTAGTTAGAACTATGTACTTCATGTCATGTATTTCAACAAATCACAGTTCACGCGGGGTCAGGATCGTACATGTACTTCAGTTCAGACAAACACACTAGTCTACTGCCAATTCTCTGTCATACCGTAACGGAGATATCGATGAACAAAACCTATCAGGGACGAATGTTCGTGGGCAGAAAGTGAGAAGAAAGGAGCATGGAAGGAAAGAATGATTAGTAACGCTATCGACACGGCAACATCCAGACGGTGCATTTGTCATTGCCCGTGCGTGCATGTGTGATTACTGAAGAATGCGCGCGTGTGTGTGTATGCATGCTACTAGTAGTAGTTGACTGTTGACTGTTGTACACTTGCACTGTCGAGTGGAGAGAGAAACACGCACGTGCTGAAGTTTGGTCTGACTCCCAGTCCGTGTGCTTCTCACAAGCTAGTGTACAGTATATTCTGAGCTGATTCCTAAGGTACAGTGTAGTGACTAAGGTACAGTGTAGTGACTATTGTCGGGTAGTAGGCTTTCACGGCATTCGTATAACAATACAAGTACAAGTGCAATCAGTATTCCGATAAGTACATGTACCAGTGGCCGGAATACACGCACACCCATCACAGTCATGTTGGAACAGTGCTGCACCCATATCACCATGTATACTGTCATTGGTTTCAACTATCGGCGTTGGGCGTCACATTGGCCTCGGTACATGTACCCCCATTCTACTCTTCACCTCGCCTTGATTGTGTCACTTTGTGTCACTTTGTGTGGCTGCAATACAGCACTACGCACTCAGTCCGCTCTTGCAACGTCAGTGGACGAGTTTGGAAGCAAGCAAGCCGCCGCCGCAGCTTACTACGTTTTGCTTGTAATGCTGTTTCCCGCTGTCATGGCTGAAGTGCAGCACACAACGAAGGCGGAAGAGCTCCATCGCTTGCACTGTCAGCAACAAGACTGCAGCCGCGACCTAACTAGCAGCGGCAGTGACGGCCATCATCACCACCATCTCCAGCAGGGAGGGAATACTTCCTCCCAAGGCCAACAGCGGACTTCCACAGCTCCGGGTAGCATGAGTGTGTACCAGGGATCAGGATCGTCTGGAGGAGATCTTCCCTCATCGCCTCCATCGTCGTCGTCGTCGTCGTCAGTGACTGAGTCTTGTGGTCAGTTGGTGTCACCTCTGAATCAGCTGCATCGCACAGGCAGCGAGAGTAGTGTGGACAGTGGCGTCACGGCTGGAGAGGCTACTGACGTACTCATGCATAGTCAGCGATTGAGACGAATGGCTGACGAGCGTCTCTCCTCATCTCCCGACAAACAGCCCAAGCTGGGTCGTGCAAAGGTGTCCTTTGCACCACAATTTTGTAAGACCAAGGCTCGTTCTGCCAGCAGCAGCAACAGCAGCAGCCTTGGAAGGTCGGCATCCTTCGCTTGCACGGAGATAGAGAGGTGTTCTGAGCAAGATGGTGATGATTACGCTGGACCAGGGACAAAACGGCCTGAATCCCTACAGCTTATAGCCAACGCCAACAGCCGCCAACAGTCTGGTAACAACGGAAGGAGTAGTAGCACTACTCCAGGCATAAAGCGACAAGCTTACAGCCTGGACTACAGCGTGACATTCTCCGCTCCCAAAGACACTTCGACATGGCGAGGAGGGAGCAATGTCAATGGCGGTGCTCCGGATTTATCACCGGCCGCCACCAAACACCGAAGTCTTCGCAAGAGAAAGCAAGCCATCGATGAAAGTCTCGTGTGGATTAGACATCAATTGGTAAGGACGAAAAATGAATAAATTTTGATCGTTAATACGCTGGGACGTTGAGGCAAAATAATTTGAGAAAGGGAAAGAACAATCATTGTTGGTTCTTCTGAATAGATCATGCACATTATTGGTCTGCCGGGGTACCTCATCAATTCCCTGATCTGAGTACTCGCAAGATCAGTTAGCACACTGAACCATTACTATTTTCTCCAATCCCCTCCCTTTCGCCCAAACAACTCACTAACGTTCACACCGTCCGGGTCATGGTCCGTGTATGGCTGGGTCGACAAGTGTGAAATGTAGCCTCTTTAACGGGCAAAAGAAACAAAATACATGAAATTGCAATACAAATGCAAACCCAGAAAACCAGAAAAGAAAAATATGTAACCCAAAAGAAAAACAGTGTGTGATTAACACTATCAAGTCGTCAAGTGTGAAGCTATAGTCGGAATGGATTGTTTACCGCTGTGTTCATGATTGGGAGCAGCCCGAGCTGACTGAATACTGCCTGCATGTCACTTCACTTGTGCAGAGCACTCACTGTAGTTTGTACGCATGCCTGGGCCCTGATGAAGCCTGATGAAGCCTGATGAAGCCGAAACAAAGACAAGTAGGAGTACACAAAGAAGATGAGAGGCTTCCTAGTGCTAGGCGTCAGATACCACTTCAGAAACTGCGATTTTCATCAATCTAGCACAGAGAGGGCTCTTCAGTTGAAACTGTGGAAAACCTGAAAGCCCTTCTTCAGGCGGTCTGGCCCCACAGGTCTGGACCAAATCGGTCACTGTCACCGTTTGAAGGCGTCAAACATAAGCTGTGCAGTGTACATAAGCTGTGCAGTGTACATAAGCTGTGCAGTGTACATAAGCTGTGCAGTGTGCAGTTTCTATCTTACTTGATTGTGCTACACTGTATACCTATGATTGTGGTGAATGATGACGGGCTGCCTGCAGCACCTTTCTACCAGGCTCCAGGTTTGAAAGCAAACATCCAGGCCGGCGTGTGTGATGTTTCATGGCACTGTGACATAACACAATGTGGGTCCTAGCATAGTGTTAGTCACTGCAGCCTGACATGATCCTTCTCTTGAAATGAAGGACTCAGTCTGAGAGGATTAGACTCCTACAATTATTCATACAGAAAGAAAGGGTGTCACCCGGGCATGTCTGCGCCCTGCGTACAACACATGCACAAGAGCGCGCGCACGCACACACACACACATACATACACACACACACACACACATACACACGCACACACACACACATACACACACACAAACACACATATAGGCCAGCTGATACGGATTGGATACAATCATACTTGACATGTGCATCACTCAATGTACATGTATGTGACGATACAAACTACACGCACACCTCCAGGACCAGACATGAACTCCTGAAAACCGTTTGACGTTTTATCTCCACTGCATGTCACAGATATAATTCTTGCTTTCTTTCACTTCTCACTGAATCTCAGCATCCTCAGGGTACATAATACTTGTGCATCTGAACTGACTGAAGTACAGACTACAGTAGTGCCAGAACGATCATGAAGATCCTGAGCTCGAACGCAATGAAGTACTGAGTCAGTGGAGTGCAGGCCATCGTGACACACTACCATGACTACTACTCCG